ATATATATGAATATATGATGTATGCCTAATCTGTAGTAACTTTATAGTACAGTCCTCTTAATCACAGTACATCACTTCCAACCCCCAACCCCCACCTAAACTATCCCCCCAATTCCCAGCCCCAAATGTATACTTACCAGAATCCAAGCACTTAGTCCAGCAGGAATGTTTAGCACCTGGTAGTAACCTAACAACTGGAGATATCCTGTGCAGCCTATTAGAGGAAACCTCTACTGAAAAAAAATCATTGCTGATTTGCTTAGTATAGGTTTCCTGTAAGGGGAATCGGTCACAAAGCAAATTTCTGGATCCCAGACCTCGTATATAAGCTGCTGTTCACTAAATGCTGGGATACATTTTGGTTCTGGAAGACTGATGCAAAAACAATTTAGCTTCACCGGTATGCTATACTTGTTTTTAGTAAAGTGAAGCATTAATATTCCCCCATTGCACTCTGCAGAACATGTAGAGAGGTGCCACATTATATTGAGGAATGGAACGTGTGTGCGTCAGTGCTCCATGCTCTGAAAGTTTAAGATTTGCACTTACTAGTTTGTTGTGTGCTGATGGTGCCTACATTCACCAAGTGGTGCCTGCTGTCATCCCAGGATCCCATAATTTATCGGCTCTAACTTGTAACAGGTATACTTTAAAGGGATGCTTTTTAATTTTTTTAAAAACTTGTAATATTGCTTACCAATTCTCCCACTTTTACTGACCATTATGAGTTATAGCTTTCCATAGACTTCAATGGGACAAGCAGATTTAGATATTACAACTGTTTACTGTGCCAGTAAACAGAGAATATATTTTAAAAATTATATATTTTTAGATTTATGTATTATTTTTATGTATATAAAATATGGTCTACAAAATTATAAATTGTTGATAACAATGAGCAAAGCTCTCATAGGTATTGCAACGGTTGCACCTGCATACAGCTTTCCATTCTCCAATAAGTATAAAAGCCACCTGAAGCTTAACTTCAGCATTAACACGGACATCTTTTAGTGCAAACAAAATGTAATGAACACACAGAATGCTGGAAGCAGATGAACCCATGCACATCCAGACCCATAACATGTAGAAACAGGAACAGGTGTATTTATAATATGCATTGAAAGGGTTTCCTGTCTATAACTTCAGTGAACTATACATTTTCTTGACCAGTTTAAAAAAACATGTTTAATGAATAGACAAGATGTTCTAAAACCGTGTTAGGTTACTATTATTTATGACACAGCAAAGAAATAAAACTTTCCACAGTTTATTTTATGCCAGTATCCACACATATAAAAACCCTAAAAAATGAATCTAAAGAATTATCTTCTTCTAAATGTCATATTTTTATGGTTTGCAATCCCATCACATTCTCCTCACACAAACACCCAGTGAGCTCCCAAAAGCAGCACAGTGTGGTTACAAGGTGCTCTGGGGTTTGACACTGAGACAGACTTAGTGGAAAAAAAACTCACCATTTTGTAGAGCTTCATGGACAAGAATCAGGATGAAAAGGAGCCAGAACTTCATTTTGGGATCAGGCTGGGGTGCCCCAAAGGAGCCTTACCCCAAGACAGTGCGTAAAAAGAGCAAAGTCCCAGCTTGCTGTCAGTTATGGATGAAAAAAAAAAGGCTGCAGGAATGTGGACTGCTGATTTGTATTTTCCAAAGCATGAAGAGAAGCTTCTGAAGGATCAAGTTTCAAGAAATTCAGGAGTAGAAAAAAAAATTAAACTTAGTGAAACTTGCCTGCTCTCTGCTGGTTACTGCACAAAATGTTCAGAATGTTCTGCAGTGTGCAATCTATAATATTTACATCAAGATAGCATGTGCCAATTTGGTCAGGCAGAGGAATGGGTACCTCTTTGAGGACTTCGGGGGCATTCAGTGCAGAGGGTCTAATGGTCTGTCACATAGGGGAGCAGAGGTGGTGCTACAAACCTTGACAAGTTTGCAGAGTACTTTATGACTGGTCTTGTATCCACCCCTCCTGTCGTTTTCTGCAGGCAGAATGTAGTGGATGGGGCTTGCTGGCAATGATGATGTCAACGCTACTTTTATATGGTAATTTATGTATTTGAAAAGGTATTTGGGGCACAAAAAGTGGATTTATATCCTTCGTGGCTATTGAGGACTGCATTTGGATGAAAGTTTTTGTGCTCTGAGTTCAGCTTTAAATAATTCCTTGTCAAATCACAAGCTATACTGGACTGCAATTGCAGACAAATATGTAATCAATTGGCCGCACATAATGTTGTATGTACAGTATCTCACAGAAGTGAGTACACCCCTCACATTTTTGTAAATATTTTATTATATCATTTTATGTGACTACACAGAAGAAATTACACTTTGCTACAATGTAAAGTAGTAAGTGTACAGCTTGTATATCAGTGTACATTTGCTGTCCCCTCAAAATAACTCAACACACAGCCATTAATGTCTAAACCGCTGGCAACAAAAGTGAGTACAAATTGGGCCCAATTAGCCATTTTCCCTCCCCGGTGTCATGTGACTCATTAGTGTTACAAGGTCTCAGGTGTGAATGGGGAGCAGGTGTGTTAAATTTGGTGTTATTGCTCTCAGTCTCTTATACTGGTCACTGGAAGTTCAACATGGCACCTTATGGCAAAGATTTTGAGGGGACAGCAAATGTACACTGATATACAAGCTGTACACTCACTACTTTACATTGTAGCAAAGTGTCATTTCTTCAGTATCGTGACATGAAATGATATAATAACATTTACAAAAATGTGAGGTGTGTACTCACTTCTGTGAGATACTGTATGTAATACTAGAGAGGCCTGTCTGCGAACACAGAAAATGAGGGCCCTGGACTCATTGCTACAGGTTGGCTAGGAGACTTGGCACATGGGGCATATTATAGAGTGAAGCAAAACACGCACTCATCAATTCATCACCAGCTTTACAGCAAGGTGCACATGGAATGGGCTTTAAACAGTAAAACAGAAAAAAGTTTTCCTGGCACACTCACAAGCTAGCATGTAAAAAAAACACGTCTCACCACTAGGGTTAAAAACAGAGGTTTGGATACACGTCTTCTGCAGAAAATGTGAAAGCCGCGCCAAGCACCTCTTATAGTGCGGTCCTAACTCTAAACTATGAGAGTCTCCATCTCGGAGCACATAGGGCAGAAGATAAAATTGGGTGCAGGTCTGTCAGGAGGAAGCCCAACCTCCCTTAAGGCACAGGAACGCACAAGGGATCCTGCACATCCCAATGGCAGCTGAGACCCCCCATGCATCACTGCACCAAGTCAGTCAAGCAAAACAAATGACAAACGCACTCATCAATTCGTCACCAGCTTTACAGCAAGGTGCACATGGAATGGGCTTTAAACAGCAAAAAGTTTTTTTCTGCAGAAGACGTGTATTCAAGTTTTTTTACATGCTAGCTTGTGATTGTGCCAGGAAAACTTTTTGCTGTTAGATTGTAGAGGGAGACTGGAGGAATGATACATGAGGCTACCAATGATTACTCCTATTTGCCCACAGGTTGCAGGTTAGGAAACAGGGATGTATGTTTCCTTGTTTGTACCGGGTAAAATAAAACAAAATCAAAAACACATCAACCGTGTGTTCAGGGATAGTGATCTATTCCTAACCGCATGTAATCGTATCACATATAATTATATGCGGAGTGCCAGTGGACTAATGCTACGGTCACTCCATCATCAACCTGAACGAGTGACGCTTCCAAACAACAGATTTGGGATTCCTGACGCAGGAATTCTTAGGTTCCTGCCACAGGAATGCCACATGCACCTAATATGAAGGTGTGAATGAAGCCTAAAATGATTTGTGTAAAGCAACGGTTTTAAGAATGGACAATATGGAAATATGATCAAGAAGTCAAACCCAGCAAAGCAGGCATCACAACCTGAGTGTTTAATATTGTTTCCACTTCACTTGCTGTGCAGTGAAAAAAGTAGTGCATGCACAACGCAATGCACAGTATTGCAACATGTTGCAGGACATGGCTGCTGGGAGGTGCATTGGGGTGCCATTCAAATGAACAGCAATGCAACACACCTAGTCCATGGTACCGCATGCTAGGTGAGCTGTATTGAGTGTTTAGCACAAAGCTTAGGTTTGAACCGGTCCTAAAGTATATGCAATATAGAAGTGCCAGTTCAGTGTAGATGAACCTGTTCAGCCTCACTTTAAGTGAAGTCATTGGTTTAGTAAGTGGTGAGCTGGGATCCAAGTCCTTACATGTGCTGGTTGTATTAGTTTTTATTTTCAGGATTTTATTTCTTGTATTATCACTTTGGGATGCTGGCAATAACACACTTTGTGTCCTAGAGAGACAATGCCTTGTCATGATATTGTATCTATAGAGAAAAACAGCACAGCCACATTAGGATGGAAATACAGAACACTTCCTTCTCTTCTGTTCATCATAACATTAGGAGAGGTGTTAGTCAACAAAGGTGAACTGGGCAGGGCTGATAACATTGCTTAGGGTTTCAGTGCAGGAGAGGCACAATGATAGCTGAAACAGGAAGCTAATGAGCTTGCTGGACTTCTGTCAGGATTAAGGTGGCCATACACTGTACAACCATCGCAAGACCTTAGTCTTGCGATGGTTGTAAAGTGATTAAAAAAAAACGTACTATCTGCCCATCTTGGACAGGCAGATCGTACTCTCTATCATCGCAAGCCTGCCCCCCTGAGGGGCGGGCTAACGATGACCGCAATGCTGAACGGGCAGTGTGCGCGTGCGCACACCGGCCCGTTCGGCATTTGTCTCCCGAGCACCGTTCAAACCAGCCGAAAATCGTACGATTTTCGGCTGGTTTTCTAGCGTGCTCCTTAGACAAAAGACGTGCGACCGTACAGTAGAAACGGTCGCACGTCTTCGTTCACACTGCTCGATTCTCGTACGATCGCGGGATTTCCCGCGATTCTCGTACAAGAATCGAGCAGTGTATGGGCACCTTAAAAAGGTGATATACATGTGTAGCAGTTTAGAAACATTGAGCAGCTCTACCCTCTTGTCTCGAATCCCGCTGCTTGAACCTCGGTGCCTGGTAAAGCTTCCGCCGGAGCCTTTACTTAGCAATAGGTAAAAATGATGATGGGAAATCCAACATTTTACAGTTGTCACTGGGACAGGAATTGAGGAATTCTTCCAATGGAGACACTGTCCTGGTGACAACTGACTAAGTGAGAATGTCCCCTCATTTTTGGGAGATACAGCTCATTTTGGTGACATTTACTCTTACTTCCTGTTGTGTCTTTTAGATCGAACACAGACAAAATGATACAGAAAAATCCCCTAACAGGAGTTCTAAAACAATTTGGCTTTAGATACATTTTAAATTCACTAATGGACAGTTTTTACACAAAGCCATTAGGGTACCACTAATTTCAAAATGGGATTTATAACACCACTCAAACATTCATAATAAATTTAATGTGACACTAAACTCAAGAGTTAATCCTTAATTTGTAGAATGCTGCGCACTAAAATCATAGCACATATATATTTATTTTCCTTGCATTTCTTAAAGTGAGACTAAACTCAGCTATTATATCTTAAAAATGCATTCAAGTACCTTACTAACACTAATGTATCTTATTTGTGTATCACTCAGTGGTAGATCCTCCAATCATCTCTGAATCCATGCTGACACTGTCCTGCCTTCTGGAAGGTGGCTACTTTTGTTCCCCATTGTCCCTGTGTGTGTTGTAAAGTAGTCAACGTTCCAAACTCACTCCCGTGATGGACTAGAATCTCGCGTTTAGTTTACGTTCTTTGTATTGAGATTATAGTCCATCGTGGGAGCAAGCTTGGAGCGGTGGCTACTTTACAACACACACAGGCACCATGGGGAACAAAAGTAGCCACCCTCCAGAAGGAAGGACAGTGTCAGCACCAATTCAGAGATGGTTTGAGGATCTACAGCTGAGTGATACACATAAGATACATTTTTGTTAATAGTTGAGATACCTGAGCCTTTTTAAGCTTTAACTTTGAGTTGAGTGTCACTTTAAGACATATTATTATAACTTCTCACCAAAATAAATAATGTATTGCATATGTTACATGTATTTTTGTGTTCTGTATTATATGACAAAATGTGCATTGTAAACAAGCATTATGGAATAACACACAAAAGAGATTTCTTTTCTCAAAGTTTATATATTATAAAAAAATACAGAAGGAGTACAGGATGAAGGTTTTATAAAGCATATTTTACAATAATGAAAATATCAGCTTACATTTTGACAGATATATATTTATAACAGGATGTCTTACATTGCATAAGAGGAAAAACAAAACGTAAGAGAAGTTTGGCACATGTTTGTAGTCCACATGAGAAGAACCTGTGGAAAAGCAGCAATACAAAGGAGTAAAACTACCAAACATACGTTTCACACACCAGTTGTCTCATTTGTGTCCTCAATCCATTGCAAAATAATAGCAGGCGACACACAATGCACATGGAGGGTGACAAATCTCTGATAGTACTGTACAGGAAATAAGTGACAAGTATCAATGTTCCACGGGAAATGGCAGTGATAATCTCTGAGGTCCCACCACACCTGAAATAGACTTGACTTGGGTACTGCATAGCAAAGTCATACTTTCTCCAATGATGTCCTTGTCTGTATTGTCATCTTAGGAAGTGCAAGAAGCAACTGAAACACAGA